CTGTCTGTTGGGGTGCTTCACTTTACATTTCACTGTCCTATAGGCATTTTATAGCCTTCCTGTCTACTCCACTTGTGTTTTAATATGCCTGAGACTTTTCCCAAATTACCCTTATTTTAAAATATTCCAGTTCCACCCACCCCAAAGCCTTTGGCACTGAAAATGCATTGTCAAAGAGGCAGGCACAGAGCATCATTTTTGACTTGTTTTCATCACAAAAACTTTTACAGTTTGCAAATCCAATTTCAGGTGTAGTTTCCTCCCCTTCTAGAGGAGAAGCATCCTTAGAGGAAGTAAATTTGGCCAATGTCAAAGACCTTTCTCAACTTACGGGCATTGCCCCAATTCCTGGCTAGGTGCTTCCCTCCTGTGGTCAGTTCTGTGAGGGAAGAGGTGGCAATTTCAAGCAACCCTTGCAGTTTCGGGATCTGGTGGAGTTGATAGCTTCTCCAAGGACCTGGACATGGTGTAGGCTCTGAGCTCCTCCATTGTTAATGCTGGTGAAACCCCCAGTTCAGATTAATATATCAGAACATATCTCTCTATTTTCACGTCTTAGCTTAGCTGCTCTGAATCACACTCTTCTTCCTTCACTACTAGTAGCCTAGCAGTACGCAGTACATACACTGCCATAATTTCTGTACAGCTCCCTATTCTCTGAATGAAATGTTTAATATGGAATAACTGTATTGGAGAAATGCCACTGGGGCCACCAAGTCAAAATGTTTCCTTATTTTCCTCCAGACTTAATTTTGTTGTCATTTTCATGGCCCTTTTTTGCTGGATCAAATGCTATTTACTTGATAAGATTATCAGTGGGTTGCTGACAGATTTCTTTCTGCAGCAGAAATCCTGATGGCCCATCAGCTTCAGCTGTGCTTGCAGTTGCAGCTGGGCTAGAAACTTTTGGTTGAATGGCTCTGGGAAGCTGCTAGTGAATCAGATTTACTCCGAAAACAGTTGAAGACAGACTCTTCTCAGGAATATCCAGTGGTATATCCAGTGGATATGTCCAAGAGGCAGTGGGCACCAATGTTCATTTTGCCTGGGTTATGGATGGTCTTCTAGAAGGTATGGTGGGAACCATTCCAGCACACCTGAGCTCCATGCTGGGTTCCCACCAGGCTGCTGTGGTTTTGGCCCACACACAAATGAAATAAAAGAGGTCTCCAGAGAGCTGGGTAACGGAAAGTGGTAAGTGTCTGCGTTATTGAGTAATGGTGTATAATGCCTTTCTGGCTCATATTCGTTGGTCAGTGCAGAGTTAATTGCAACCTGAGCTGTAAATGTTGAACATGGATTTTTATTTACTGGCTTATTAATGGCATCTGTTTTCCCAGCCAAATGTCTCGGCTGCTTGCCCTTATTCAAGGAGACTAGAAGAACTCATTGCATAGGTGGCCTATGTCAGCTTACATGCTTTGGCTAGAAAGGGAGTTCAAGGACATGATCAAAACAGTGTGTTTTCATTTGGAAGATACTTGTTTGGCTAATGCATTGTCCCCCAGCATCACAATGTGGTGTGGGTTGTGGGGAGGTACAGGTTCAGTGCTCAGCTCCGACAACCTGCAACACCTCTTCTCCCATCTAAGTCACTGCCCCATGCTCTTCTACCATCCTCCCAGAGACTAAGGATGTGCCATCTTCTCCAGCAAGTGGTGAGCGATGATGGCAGGGGGGTGCTTGCAGCTGCAAGGAGCTGACTTAAGAATCAGAAGGCTGGTTTTGTTAAGCAAATTTTGTGTCACTGCAAGTTAAGGGGCTGCAAATTCAGCTGAGAAGTCGCTGCCTATGGGGCATAACAGGAGGAGGAGAGCATCTGAAATGGGCAGGTAGTAATCATCAGTCCACATGCAGTTCTGCCCCCCTGCACTGAAGTGACAGCAAGGGAAGACCCCATGCCTTGAGAATGGGGGTGGAAGCTGACGCCGCGGCCTGAGGAGCGTGACTCAGCCAGCCTAGCAAACTCAGGCTTGCATTTTGTGCTACCGCTTCCCAGCAAGGTGCAGGGACTGCTGCTGCAGTCTGATTAGCTGGGAGGCTGCCAGCTGCGGTGCCACCTCCTCCTCGCTGCAGTCAGCGCGCAGGCAGCTCAGCCCTCTCCTCTCGTCGCCTGCGTCTCGAGGGATGAAATGACCTGCTGGAGGGAGATGCCGAGCTGAGCTGCTCGCGAGAGGCGCAAGGCAGAGGAGTGCGCAATGCAGAACGAGGAGGCTGCGGGGAAGGTAGGGGTTGCTGGGTCTGTGGCCAAGCTGGGGGTCGGGCACAAGGACGGAGGTAGCTGGTAGCCAGTTTTTGGCACCCACAGCCAGGGCTTTACCTCTCTGTCCCTGTGCGTGCTGTGACCTCCCGGCTGGAGCTGAGAGGTGACCTGATGCCCAGAGCTGGGCTGAACGGCTCTGTGCTGCCTGCAGCAGGGCAGGCGGATGGGGGCTTTGGGGGTGCACCCCTTCTTCCCGGGGTGCTTCCCAACAGAGTTGGGGGGGGCACAGCATGTGCAATGGGATGGGATTTGGCCATGGATCTTGTTACAAGCAGGTATTCTGGGCATTTTTTTCAGCACAACTCAGCCCACTGCAGGGTGCCCATGGAGGACCTGGTGGGAGAGCCCTTCCTGCATGTGCTTATGAACTGCTTGTGGGCATGCCATAAATCCCCACCAGCCCACCTTATGGGGCCAGGAGACATGGAAATAAAAATTAGGGGTGTTATTGCTGTTATGTAGGCAGCTTTTTCTCAGATGATTACACCTGCTTTCAGTAATGCTGATGCAAAAGACCAGTGAGACTGGAGGGGAGAAAAAAAAAAAAAAAAGCCCTTTTCTCCCCGATCTTTGGCTGGGGCAGTGCTGAACCTGGGGGAAACCCACCAGCAGGTCAAGACCGGAATGAAGCACAGTATTAGCCATGATGTTGCTCTGCTGCTCCTCTCACAACAGGAAGCCCCCGCTGTTCCTCTGACCTTTATAAGTTTGGCTACGATGCAGAGTCTGGTTTGCAGAGAGCCCCAGTGTTCATTAAACCCACACATACGTACCAGTGCATCACCTGAATGCTTTGCTTCCTTCATTGCCTGATCGCAGCTCCCCGGAGAGCAGTCACTGGGGAAGCCCCATCCAGACCCTTTCCAAGGCACAGAGCGAGGACCCACCACGCTGTAGCCTGGCTTGCCTGCCAGCCCACCCAGCACGTGGTGTGGCTGGGCATGCAGGAGGGTTTCATACAGATGTGACGCTGCTGTTTCATACCCCTCGCTATGCACCGTGCCTCTGTGCACTTGTAACTCTGGGCTCCTGGGGTGACCTCTGCAAGGACACAAGGCCCCCCATGCAGAGGCGTGCAGCCAGCATGCTGATACAGAGCGAGGGCACTGCTCTCCACGCAGAGCTGTGCGTGCTTGTACGAGAGACCTGCTTTCCCAGCTGCCAGAAATAACCCAGCTGCCTGGAACAGAGAGCAGGCAAGGAAAGCTGCAGGCTGCTCCTGCAGCGGGCAGCGGAGCGGGCAGGCTGGGGAGCTCTGCGCTAGCGGGCAGGACGCGGCAGGCAGAGACCGACGGGCCGAGCACAGGACAACAGCGCGTGTCTGCAGCCCTTGGATGGGACGCTCATTCAACCCATTGGATGGGCTCGTTCGACCACAAGGCAGCGAGGCACGGAGGTGATAAAGCTGGAGCCGTGCCAGGAGCCACCTGCAGAGAGGTGTTTCATCTGTAGGCCCGGGGATGCGCTGAGGCTGGTTTGCTTGTCGGGTAGCTTGGCAGTGGTTCAGAGCACCAAGATGCACAGGGCACGGCCCCTTAGTCCTCTGTGGGGCCTGCAATGCTCTGCCCACTGCATTAGGGTCTTAACTAGGGTGCAACAACATTCCCATCCCCTGGTGGCCCAGGGGACATGTCCTGGCCACGTAAGCATAGAATCATTATGATTGGAAAAGACCTTCAAGATCATTGAGTCCAAATGCAAGCCCTTCAGCACCGTACCTGTTAAACCATGTTTCTAGGTGCCTCATCTACACACATTTCTTGAATGCTGCCAGGGATGGTGACTTCCCCACTTCCCTGGGCAGCCTGTTCCAATGCTTGACCATTCTCTGTTAGAATTTTTTCCTAGTATCTAACCTGAACCTCCCCTGTGCAATTTGAGGCCATTTCTTTTTGCCCTATCGGTAGTTACACTTATTCTGGAGACTGACCCACATCTTACTACAACCTCTTTCAAGTATCTCCTGAGCGTCCTCTGTCAATCCAGTTTGCCCACACCTGTAGGGCCTTCCTGCCCTCAAGGATGTGCCAATCTAACTCTCACACTCTCTGATGCTCCTTAGCCTTTCTACCTCCTCCTTCAGTGAGGCCACCAGGCCAAGCAGTTCATTCGCCTGCCCAAACCTAACGCAGGCGTTGTCCCTGCTCCCCGCCATGAACACGGAAAGGCTCAGACACTCCGGGCCCTGGAGACCTGGTCTCATGGAGGGAGAAGGTTCTAACGCTCTAATGCCCGGAAAGTGTAGTAGGTATCTGAGGTCCTGGGTCCTGCTTCCCTGAGCAGAGCAGATCAGATTTCCTGGGGGCAAGGCAGGCATTTGTGTCCGTATCTAATGGCAGGTGGCCACATCAGTTGTGTCTTCCTGTTCTGGACGGCGCCTGACAGAGCTGTTTAAACCCCACAAAGCCTCACTCTCTGTCGGAGTCGTGGAGACTGCAGCAAACACGTTTGTCCATAAGCAGCACATCCTGCAGGCTTTTTATGGAAATATCCGTCTTCTTACTGGCATGGACAGCAGCAGGGCAGTTTAGAGAGAGGCTGTTGCCAAAGAGCATCCCACAGCTGCCACCACCACCAAAGGAGTGCCAAGCAGGGTGCCTTGGTACTTCCAGTCCACAATTATCTTTCTTTTTCTTTTCTTCTTTTCCACTGCACTCAGGATGGGGATTTTCAGGACCTCCCAGCCTAGGAATGACAGGCAGAGGGCAGAGCAGGCTGCGACATCGACATCGCTGCCATGGCCGCGCGCAGCCGGCGCAGCAAAGTTCTGCCTTCCGAACTGAACAAGGTGTGTCCCGAGAGAGGAGACAGCCCTGCCACGCGCCCCAGGAGGATGAGCGACTTTGAGGTGGTCCCAAACCTCCGGCAAAGCAGCAGCAGCGTCTCCAAGAGCAGGAGGAAGGCACATTTCCTCTCCAGCAGCAATGAGAAGGCAAGGGTAGGAGGCATGGGGAGAGGCAGGAGCTGGCCACATCACCACGTTAACCCTTGAAACATCACTGGGGAATCTCTGATTAGGGTAGGGGGGGCATTTATGAAAGATCACTTTGGTTTTAGGCATGTGCAGAAAATGACAAACACCCGAAGTGTATTTGCATGCCCAGCACTCGTACCATCATTCCATGGAGGACACTTGCCTTACTCCATCAGTCATGAACTTTCATCCTTCATATCACAAAAAGTATCCAGATGTTACCCAAGAACCAAGGTGTCTCAGGCCTCGCATATCAGAAGCCCTGAACATCTGCTGCTCTTTCTACTCCCTCAGGAAAATCTCATCTCGTGGATTCCTGAAAACATCCGGAAGAAAGAGTGCATGTACTTTGTTGAAAGCTCCCAGACATCGGACTCTGGGTAAGTCAAACTCTTCCTTCATTCCCCTCCCTCGGTAGGAAGAAGGGGCATTTGGTGAAAAACCTACAGCACTAGAAAATCTCACATTCACCGCGTGGTTGATATGGACTTTCACAGTGTGTAGCCCTTCTGATGCTTTCACATGCAAATGTTTTCGTCCATGCTTCACCCACACTAGCCTTTATATTTATATCATAAGCTTCAGCAAGTGGAAATGAGATTTTTTGTTGATTTTACACACCAAGCTGTTTTTATTTCTGTGCAGTTTCTGAGCTGGAAGGCCAGCTGGGTGGGAGATGCTTGTACTCAGGTCATTCTTAACGCAAACGCCACTGCCTTCTCCTGAGCGAACTAAGTGGGCCGCCTGGGTTTTGCCCTTTGGGTCTTGCTTCCTTTTGGACAAGCTGCTTGTGCGCTTTCCAGGAAGGTTGTGTGCGAGTGCGGCTACCTCAGGGAACAGCACAGAGAAGATGCTGCCAAGCCACCCATCTTCCTGGGGAAGGAATGGGACCCCAGCAAACACGTCCAGGAAGTGCCAACAGATGCCTTTGGTGACATCTGCTTCACGGGCCTGGGGCAGAAGATGGGAAAGGTGATCTGTTTGTTGCCTCTGTGGTGTGCTGAGACCCAGAGCTCATATCTTGGTCCTTAGGGTCCATGGCAGAGGAAATGTGGGCATTTCCCTCCTAAGTGAAAGGAGATGGTGAAAGCATGGAAATGACCCAAAGGCAACACTGACCCGAGCACAGAAAGACAGGAGTGACAGGATCCCTCCTCTCTCCCTACCCTGTATACAGCCCTTTTATGAAGCTGTGAGACTGGCCTTTATTTTGTGAAACCCATGCCCCAGTGAATGACTATTCCTTGTCTTTATGTGTGTCTCAATCATGTTGAGCCCAGAGAAGGGAAGAGAAACAGAGCCCAGCACCTAGGCCTGGGGCAGCAGCAAGCCCATGCCCCAGTGAATGACTATTTCTTGTCTTTATGTGTGTCTCAATCACGTTGAGCCCAGAGAAGAGAAGAGAAACAGTCCAGCACCTAGGCCTGGGGCAGCAGCAATGGGACTTTGATGGAAAATGGTGGGAAGAGTCCACAGGGACAGGCAGAGTTGGTTTGGAAGTACTCTTTTCCCCTGCCTGTGTATTTTACCCTGAGTGCATGTATGCTCCCTTTCTGCAGTACGTGCGCGTCTCCTTGGACACACACCCACGGATCATCTACCACCTCATGACACAGCACTGGGGTCTTGATGTGCCTAACCTCCTCATCTCAGTCACTGGGGGAGCCAAAAACTTCATCATGAAGCCAAGGCTGAAGAGCATCTTCCGGCAAGGGCTAGTCAAAGTGGCCCAGACCACTGGTAAGAGATGTGCAGGTGGTCCTGGAGACTACAGTTGGAAAGGGGCCTGTTGTGTCACCATGACAGCTGCAGTGAGTTCGGCTGATGTGGAGGTCTATGAGCTGATTCAGAAGAACTGTAGGTCCCTATCTGAAATACTAGCATCAGGAATAGTCCGTCCTCGCTGCAGACAGTCTCACAGGGAGTGGGACTGAGGGATGCCCTATTTTGTGTGGAAGAAGGCACCTCTCGTGCTGCCAGGGCTTGGTGTATAGGGAAGGGAAGGTATCTTCTTGAGGACAGAGCATTGCTGAGGACTAGGTCTTCCTACTGCTATGCAGGGGAATGTGAGCAGATCACTGCGAGCAGACCCCCTCCCTTCCCAAGTCTCTTTCTGACCCCCAGGGGCTTGGATCATCACAGGGGGGTCCCACACTGGTGTGATGAAACAGGTGGGAGAGGCGGTACGAGACTTCATCCTGAGCGGCAACTGCAAGGAGAGCGAGATTGTCACCATTGGCATAGCCACCTGGGGGACTGTGTACAACCGGGACACCCTCATCTGCCCCATGGTGAGAAGGGCTGAGCTGCCGATACCTTCGTTTTGCCCATGCCTGTGCCACCAGGGAAGTCTTAATTGATGGGAAGAGGTGCTCCAAGAATGACTGTAGCCAGCAGTGCTGGCAAAGCGCAGCCAGATCAGGAGCGAGGGCCCCTGGCTGTTGCTCTCCTGGCAGCCCCTCCACCATACCCGGTGTCCTGCATAAGTGCATTACTCCTCCTGGAAGTACCCTTGGGTGTCAGGGAGGAGCCTGGGAGGGCAGGTGGAGAAGAGACAGAGAGGGCTTGGGGCAATGCTGACTTGAACACTGAAGAGAGAGCAGAGTTGTTTGACCAGGGCTGGCCCAGCATGCTGACCTGTTCCTGTTCCATGTGGTGCTTGCTTGGGCATGCAGTGATGCACATGAACTCTCTCAGGCTTTGTGCAGTGTCTCTCCTGTTGTACCTTGCAGGGTGGCTTTCCAGCTGAGTATGTCCTGGATGAGGAGAACCAAGGGAGCCTGTCCTGCCTGGATAGCAACCACTCCCACTTCATCCTGGTGGATGACGGGACCCACGGGCGGTATGGTGTGGAAATTGCCCTGAGGACCAGGCTGGAGAAATTCATTTCGGAGCAGACAAAGGTGAAAGGAGGTAACAGCAGCAGCTCTCCAGGACTGAGGCAGGGGAGTGGGTGAGATGGGATGCAGTGTCCATTAATAAGCGCTGCCCATCCCGGCCTCTGGCGAGAAAGGAGGCAGTGACCTGGCTTTCCTGGAGGGTGGAGTTTGCACAAAGTTTGAGAGGATGCTCATGAAACAGGGACCATATTTCCTGTCAGGTACCTCAGTGGCCCAAATCAAGGAACATTTTTCTGACAGAGGATGGCTTCAGGACATGCCAGGAAACTTTTCCTCATCCTTCTGGCATCTGGCATGCACTGGGCAATGCCTCCACTCTTACCTTTTACTGCTCAAGCCAGCAGTTCAGCAGCAGGTCTTTACAGAGCTGACCTTGGGCTCTGCTTTTCCGCAGGAGTTGCGATCAAGATCCCCATCGTATGTGTGGTGCTAGAAGGAGGCCCTGGCACACTTGATGTAAGTATATTGTCCTGCCCTCTCCCAGCAGAGCTGAGAGGGTGCGATGGAAAGGAAAACCTGTGACATGGGCAGCCAGGGTCCAGAGCAGCAGGATGCCTCTTCCCTGGAGGTGCTGCTCCCCTGGTGTTGGTGAAGAGTTGGTGTGACCTTCATTAGCTGAAATGCCTTTGCATAGGAGTGACGTGATGAAGCAGTGGGGTTTTCAGGCTCTGGTTTCTGCGCAGGATTGGAATCAGCATCCCTGCTCTGTTGCAGACCATCTACAATGCCATCAACAATGGGACCCCCTGTGTGATAGTGGAGGGCTCTGGTCGTGTGGCTGATGTCATTGCACAGGTGGCCAGCCTGCCTGTCTCCAAGATAACCATTGCCTTGATCCAGAAGAAGCTGAGCATGCTCTTCCACGACACCTATGAGTACTTCACTGAGAGCAAGCTGGTGGAGTGGACTAAGAAGGTGAGACTTTCATGCAGATTGCTCCCCTCTCTGAGCATGTGGTGGTCTAAAGGGACCTAGTAATTCTTACCCATGAGCAGCAGGTCTCCCCATATGAAGTTTGAGGCTGAGCTTCCCCCCAGCTCCCTGGATCCCCTGGTCATGCTCAGCATTGGCCAGGTGGACACCCTGTGGGCCCAAGCTCAACTCCTCCAGTGCCTGACCACTTTGGTTAGAAAACTGCCAGATGGGACTAACTCCATCCAGACAGGGGACCACACAGGCCAGAGGACCTGCAAACAGCCCAAGAGGATCAAGGCATTCCCCCAAGCAGGACATGGATTCAGAGAAGGCAGTAGGAAGCAGCAGGGAGGAGATGTTGCTGTTGCTGTAGTGTAATTTGCCCATGGTTTTCCTTGCAGATCCAAGACATAGTGCGGAGTCGGCAGCTCCTAACAATTTTCAGAGAGGGCAAGTATGGCCAGCAGGATGTGGATGTTGCCATCCTGCAGGCCCTGCTCAAAGGTGAGGGGCTGAGCACTGCTTGGGTGCATGGGGAGAGGAGAATGGGACAGGGGTCATGAGGCACCTCCTGCAGCCGCCTGGCTTATGGGCTCTCAAGAGGCTCCTCAGACCTTGTGACGACGAGCCGGGCAGCTCCTGGGGTTTCCCCAGAGGCAGAAGTGATGGCGTGTTGCAGGCAGGGCAAAGGCACCTCAGCAGTGTTCCCACCTCCTTTCTTAAGCACAGAACTTCTGGTGTGTGGTGAAGATACTCTCAGTACCAAGTGCTTGGCTTGGTTAGTCTGCATAGAACGTGGACAAGATGGGGGATTAAGGATTGAGTGAAGAGATTTTTTTTTCCCACAAAGGGCCCAGTTGCCACAGGGGATTCCAAATAGCTTCTTCCTTATGTTCTAACCCATACACTTTGAATGCAGCATCCCGAAACCGGGACCACTTTGGCCACGAGAACTGGGACCACCAGCTGAAGTTAGCTGTGGCCTGGAACAGGGTGGACATTGCTCGGAGTGAGATCTTCACGGATGACCATGAGTGGAGGGTGAGGCAGGCCTCCTCACATGCCTGTGCTACTTTGTCTGCTGCATGGCTTCCATGAGAGACAAAGAGCTTGGGGCAATACCCTGTGCTCTGGAATAACACCGTACCCCTATATGAGCATGGAGCATGGTGTGGTCCCACTCTGTGGTCCCAGAGTCCCTGATCTCTTCCTCTGGCCTGACAGCCCACAGATTTGCACCCCATGATGGCAGCTGCCCTGATCTCCAACAAGCCAGAGTTTGTCAAGCTGTTCCTGGAGCAAGGAGTGCGTCTCAAGGAGTTTGTCACCTGGGATGTCCTGGTTTACCTCTATGACAACATAGCACCATCCTGCCTGTTCCACAGCAAGCTGCAGAAGGTCCTGCTGGAGGAGAAGGAGCACACAGCTGGCTCCAAAATGCCAAGAGTCCAACTGCACCACGTCTCGCAGGTGCTGCAGGAGCTGCTGGGCCGCTCCACGCAGCCGCTCTACCCCAAGCCCAAGCAAACGGAGCGGCCCCGGCTCTCCGTCCCTGTTCCGCACATCAAGCTCAACGTACGCATCTCCACATAATGCGGTGGTAGGGTTGCATTTGGGAGGGGGAGTCTGGCTCAGGAAATGGTCCCTAGGCTTGCAGTCAGCTTGCTGACCTCTTGCCCACTCAAGATTCTTCATTTAATGTCCCTTAAATCTCTACCTAGGTGATCTACCCCATATTCAAGGAGGAAACCCCACCCTGTCATCATGACCCTTGTGAGCCTGCACTCATGGCACTGTGTGACTCTGGTGGGCAAGGCTCGGCAGGGTATAGGACAGAGATGCTCCTTGTGCACTGTGCAAGGAAGTAGAAGTAGTGGCTTTTCCAGGACTAGTCCAGCCTTGATCACTGCCACTGTTTGCAGAAAACGTCTTTCCACGGGTGGTGGTGGTGGCACAGAGGGTTTGGAGAGGTTGCATCGCTGCTTGTTAGCATGGGGAATGGGTCAAACTGCTCCATGTCCTACAGGTTCAAGGATCGAGTCTCCGGTCCCTCTACAAGCGCTCTGCCAACCGAGTTGCCTTCACCATGGACCCAGTTCGTGACCTGCTCCTCTGGGCTGTGGTTCAGAATCGCAAGGAGCTGGCAGAAATCATCTGGACACAGGTACTACAATGCAAAGTTCTTAGTCCCAGCTCTAAGGCTCAGATGGAGCCAAACCTCCCATCCTCAAGGTATCAGTTCCTGGGATTCAGGATGGCAGGCGAGTCACCCACAGGCCCGTGCCAGTGCCCAAGCCAAATGAGAGCCAGCGAGCCACCCTGTGACAGCTCCCCACTGTCCATGTATGCTTGAAGTTTAGTCCCAGCTGCATACCATGAGCATGCCAGGCTCAGCAGTAGGGTCACCTGTCCCATCACCCCCAAACTCCCAGCACAAAAGCATGGTTGTCCCCAGATACCCCAGAGCACCTGCTCCCAGAAGGGAAGGCTGCTCAACCCTTGGCATGGAAATCTATCCTCCTCATGCAGCAATCAGCTTGAGAGACCCTCTTCTCATGCTGCAGGAGACCTGAAGGGCTCAACAGGTCTCCTGGGAATATGCAGGATGGGGCCAGTATCCCACCCTTCCTCTGGCCTCTTCTGTTCTAGAGCCAGGACTGCATGGCGGCTGGTCTGGCCTGCAGCAAGATCCTGAAGGAGCTTGCCAAGGAAGAAGAAGACACCGACACTACCGAGGAAATGCTGGCCCTGGCTGAGCAGTATGAGCACAAAGCCATCGGTGAGTGGGAGGGCGATTGGCAGTACAAGGTTGTTCCCTTGTGTTGCAGCACCAGCTGGCTTTGCCCATCTCCACAGGCTGTACACTGGGGTGATGGGTGGAGAGAACATGCCAAACAAGGGCCCCCTAACCATGGCAGTGGTGGCGAGGGCTGTGCTGCAGCTGACACTGCAAGTGTGGAGAAGGAAGTGCCAAGGGCAGACCGTGCTGCAGTGTCCAGATCCTGCTACAAAGGACAAGTCTACAGGCATATTGCTGAGTGCCAAGCTGGCCCTGGAGCTCATTCATGCTTCCCTGATCTCTGCTTGGCTAGGGGTGTTCACAGAGTGTTACCGCAAGGATGAAGAGAGAGCCCAGAAGCTCCTCACCCGTGTGTCTGAAGCCTGGGGGAAGACAACATGCCTGCAGTTGGCACTGGAGGCCAAGAACATGAATTTTGTATCTCATGGGGGTGTGCAGGTGAGTTTCCAGTGGTGGTGCCTGTGAGGGGCATACTTACCTCTCCCTTGCTCCAGATTAAAGGCTTACCATTTGCAGAGCTGAGACTCAGATAGCTGAGCTGTGCTCTGCGTCCCCTTTCCCAGGGCTCAGAGGTTGATACAACCCTGCACCCCATGGTGAACTGTGCCAGGTTTGCATAGTTGATCTCCTTCCTGCTCTGTGCTGGTGGGGATCACTTGTCCCCAGTACTCCTGCAGAGTACCACCTCAGTGGTTAGACCCAGCCTAGCCCCTGTCCCTGAGCCAGGCTAGCCAACCGTGGCATGAGTTGTGCGCTGTGTGGAGAGAGGCCCTCTGTAACTGGTGCTCCTCTTCCTTCTTGCAGGCCTTTCTAACCAAAGTGTGGTGGGGGAAGATGTGTGTGGATAACGGGCTCTGGCGGGTCATTGTGTGCATGCTGTTCTTCCCACTTCTCTACACCAACCTCATCACCTTCAGGTACCTCTCACAGCTGGAGGAATGTGCACTGTGCCAGGGGTTTCCTCCAAGCATCACCATTCAGCAGGCTCGCTCAGGAGCCTTTCCTTCACAGAGCCAGTCCTGCATGCACCCAAGAACAGCCTGTGTGCCTGCACCTTCAGGCCCACTCTGGTAGCCCCTTGGGCGGTTGAAATGCCCCCAGGATCACAGGGGACATCCTCTTCAGGAGGGTTAGTCTACATGGGGCACCGCATAGGTTGGAAGAAGTTATTGTAAGGTCTCTTTGGGCAGTGTGTGGCTTGGGAGCAGATGTGCTAACAAGATCTCCCCAGCAGGCTGTTGTGGGAGCTCATTATTAGCAACACACCGCAAGGCTGGAGCAGTGCTCCTCATGGGCTTTGCTAGCACATAGGTCTCAGATGGCTGAGTCAAGCATTCATCTCTTCCTCCAGGGAGAAGAGGCTGCAGCCCCTGGGCTGCCTGGCACGTTTGCGGGCCTTCTTCACGGCACCCGTCGTCATCTTCCACATGAACATCCTGTCTTACTTCACCTTCCTCTTGCTCTTCGCCTACGTCCTGATGGTTGACTTCCAGCCATTGCCATCCTGGCGGGAATACCTCATCTACTTCTGGCTCTTCTCCCTGGTGTGTGAGGAGACCCGCCAGGTACAGCATGGGCAGGGAGAGACATCTTGCGAGGAGGTGGCAGGATCCAGGCTCGGCAGCCCAAGGGAGAGCAACGCCTCTGGTGCTCTCGGAAAGTCTCTATGTAGCTCTTGTGCTGCCTCTTGTGTATCCATCCAGTCAGAGAGGGGCAGAAGAAACTACCAGGTGTCACAGAATTTCCTCAGCTACAACTGGCCTGGCCCTGGGTACTTGCAGAAAGAGAGTCTGTCTAGCGTTGAGTATGTCAGAGATGAAGGGACCACTTCTTCCCTTGGGCTTTTGTTGCTAGGAGCACTTCCAGGCTTTGCTTTGCATTTCTTTTTTTCAGCTTTTGTTTCAGCACCTCTCTCTGTCTATCTTCATTAGACAAAGGAGCTTCTTTTTTTCCTCAGATATCTCTTCCCAAGCTCCTTTCATGCCCTTGTAGAAAACCCTGTAGGCTAAGGCTGACTCCAGGTAAGCAAGAGAGTCCAGCGATGGTCGGCTGATCTGTGCAGTCCCTATTCTGTACCTTGCACATGAATATCCTACAAGGTTTTCACCAAATTGCTAACCCAGCTTCTTTTCCCAACAGCTGCTATATGACCCAGATGGGCTTGGGATCCTGAAAAAGGCTTCCCTGTACTTCAAGGACTTCTGGAATAGGTTGGATGTCTGTGCCATTCTGGTCTTTATCACAGGGTTGACTTGCAGGTGAGTTGTAGGGCTGTTTGCCTGGCAGCACAAAGATGCAAAGCTGCTGTTTTAGGCTTTAGGCAGCCTTGATCTGGGGTTATAGAATTATGCATATTTTCCAAATTGCAATTTCTTCTTCAAAAGGCCAATTAAGTCACAAGATTAATTCTTACTGACATCCTAAAAGGCCAATTAAGTTTTTCATGGTCACAAGATTAATTCTTACTGACATCCCTATATTTTCAGCTGCTTTTAGGAGTGATATTCTCCCTGCTGCAACTCTCACTCAGTACTCTGGGAAATCTCAGTAGTTTTGCAGAGCTTTAATACTATGTGTTCAGAAGAAAATCCAGGCTGGTAGCACTGAGATGTTTCCTTTCCTCTGTTCTGTGCTCAGACTGATCCCATCTACTCTGTATCCTGGGCGGATCATACTGTCACTGGCTTTTATTATTTTCTGCTTGCGCCTGATGCACATCTTCACAGTCAGTAAGACGCTGGGACCCAAGATCATCATTGTGAAGCGCATGGTGAGAGTCCCTCTCCACCAGGCCAGGGCTCCCAGCTCAAGCAGCCACATGCCTGCATGGGATGTGCCACCCATGTTATGCTATCCCAAAGAGTGGTTTGCTCCAAGACACAATTTTGCTTTGCCTGTGTCTTTGCAGATGAAGGATGTCTTCTTCTTCCTCTTCCTGCTTGCAGTATGGGTGGTGTCTTTTGGGGTTGCCAAGCAGGCTATCCTGATCCATAATGAGGAACGCGTGGAATGGATTTTCCGTGGAGTCATCTACCACTCCTACCTGACCATCTTTGGGCAAATCCCCTCTTACATTGATGGTAAGGGACACTCGCTTGTCAATGCAGGTGGCACGAGCAGTGTGGATCTGTGACAAGGCTGAGGGATACCATGCTCATCCTGCAGTCTGTCTAGCTCCTGCCCTGCTTGCCCACAGGAGTCACACGGAGGACTGTCCTCCCCAAGCGTATCGTAGGCAGGAGACCAGGAGAGAATAATATGGAGCATGGAGCTGGAGTCCTGCTCTGGCGCGTCCTGAGCATCCATGTGATGCCAAACCCAGGGGCTGAAGTTGACCAGCTGGTTGAGATATCACACTGACAGTCATGAGAGCAGATTGCCAACTGGCATGAGTTGATCTCATTCAGTGTCACAGCTATAAACCCGGTGGAAGTAAGCAGAGCAGTTGGGACAGGGCAGATATTGCAGATCAAGCTTAGAAACCCTGTGTGCATGGCAGCTGCTAAAAAATCTCTGCAAGGTGCTGAGCTCCCTTGCCACTGGCTACTCTCAATACAACATGCTCCCGGAGATACCATGAGGTCTGGCAGTGGTGGAGTTATGCTGTGCTCTCTTGCAGGGGTCAACTTTAACATTGATCAATGCAGCCCCAACGGGACCGACCCCTACAAGCCCAAGTGCCCAGAAACCAATGAGGACAGCAAGGAGCCCATCTTCCCAGAGTGGCTGACCGTCATCTTACTGTGCCTGTACCTGCTCTTCACCAACATCCTCCTCCTGAACCTCCTCATCGCCATGTTCAAGTGAGTCTGACCTGGCCCTGTGGTCTTGATGGTGCCTCAAGCTCGCTTTGCTTGCAGGCAGGCTCAGGCCTCACATGCTGTGAGAGTGCAAGGAGGGGCTTGGGAACACACTGACCGGACCTTGGAGGCACTTTGTAGGCAGAGGGAAGAAGTATAAGCTCAGAACCAGTCAGGAAGTAGGGCAGGAGCTGTGGCAGCATACAGATGTGCTGTATGCCCTTACAGCATGGCTGATGTCCAGGCTCTGCCTCTGCAGCTACACGTTCCAGCAGGTCCAGGAGCACACGGATCAGATATGGAAGTTTCAGCGACATGATCTGATTGAGGAGTACCATGGCCGCCCTCCTGCGCCTCCCCCCTTCATCCTTCTCAACCACCTGCAGCTCGTGGTCCAGCGGATCCTGCTCCGCAGGCCAGCCACCCGCCACAAGCAGCTCAGTGAGAAACAACCCCTCTCCTCCCTTCCATCCCTCCCTCTGTGAGGCATGGTGCAGTTCACCGAGGCACTCGGATTGGCCTCTGGGCTGTGGTACCATGGCCTGAGGTGCTCAGAGATTGAAGTTCCCTACTCTGAGCAGCACCATTTCCTTCCTCTGGCAGAAGAGAAGCTGGAGAAGAATGAAGAAGCTGCCCTTCTCTCCTGGGAGATGTATCTGAAGGAGAACTACCTGCAGCACCAGCAGTGCCAGGAGAAGCAGAACATGGAGCAGAAGATCCGAGACATTGCGCAGAGGTACCAGCACTCCCGAGGCAGGGATGTCCTGGGCAGGAAAGAGAATCACTGGTACTCTGGGCTGTTGTAATCATGGCAAGGGAGGGAATGCTCACAGGACCCCCGAGGATGGGGATGCACTAACGTGGAGTAGGCTGCTGGCCACCTGCACCAGACCCAGCTCCAAAGGAGACTCCTCTTTGTGCTGCCCCTTCAGAGTTGACGTTCTAGCAGACTTCTTGGACTTGGATCGGATGAAGAGGACAGGGCTTGTGGAGCAGAGACTTGTCGCCTTGGAAGAGCAGGTGAGACAGAAGTTGAACAACTGCCCTGGATAGGTGAGATTAGGTGAGACTACACCAGTGAGAGAAAACTCAGCCCAGAGTCTCACTCCTCTCCCAAAGAGATCTTTCTTGGCAATTTCTAGTCCAAAGCTGAGCAGTGCAGTGCTGAGAGGGAAGGGTCTGTGTGCCCCAGTGCCTGCTGGTTCCAGCGTCGTGGGAAGGGCTTGATGACCTCTCCTATCCCTTACAGATGCATCAGAGTGCTAGAGCCTTGAACTGGATGATGCAAGCCCTACACGGGAATGGCTTTGGTTTAGACAAGGACATGCCGCCCTTGGGTAAGCAGAGTTAGTCTCCAGCCTGTCCCTGGTGACCAGGGCAGAGCAGAACCTCATGCCACTGTGTTAAACAGCAAAGTGCAGACTCTGGGCTCCTTTGGTCTGGGAGGTTTTGGGGCCGCCTCATGTGACAGATGCTTGACCTGCCTCATCCTTCAGACCACTTGCAGAACGGAGGTCTCTGTGAGATGGTGCAGCGTGTCCTGTGGCCATTCTCACCCTCAGTTCCCCACTTTGGAGCCCTCCATAGAGCCCATTACTGAGTCTTTTCATGACCAGCAACCACTCAGCAGAGCCACAACCCGTAGCACCAATATCACTTTGAATCAGCACTCGGTCTGGTAGGATCTCGCTATCTGTGTCTGCCTTGCAGTCTCCAGCAAAGCCTCGGAGATGAGAGAGTTTGACCTGGAGGAGAAAACAGAAGAGACGAAGCCCCCATACCATGTGCTTGCTCGAAACCTCCTATATCCAGGGTCTCACACTGTCCGCTTTCCTGTGCCAGATGAGAAGGTGCCCTGGGAGGTAGGAGCTCTGACCCTGGGGGACATGAGACCATGTCAAGGGGAGCGGTCGTGTCATTACATCTGCCTCCAAAGTGAAGAGTCAAATTTGGGAGCGTATGTTCTCCGCAGTCCTTGGACAAGCAGCCTCATGAGGATGCTGCTAGGACTCAGCAACACAGAGCTGAGTCTTTGCCTGGCAGAGGGCCCATCCATGGCTTGAGATGCCTCCTTTGGGAAGTGCTGCAACTGTGAGCAGGAGAACAGCGCTGGGACTCACTTGGCATGTCCAGGGCTGTTCCAAATGGCAATGGCCCTGCTTTTTTTTCACTGTTAGTGAGGCTGCCCCATCATCAAAATTCTGCACTGGAGAAAGGCAAACAGCTCCTCTGGAGCCCTCAGAGAGACCCAGAGCA